TGAAGGTTTGAAGTAAGTTTTCAAGGTCAATGTTCTCATCACAAATGATGAAAGTATCATCAATGTATCTCTTGTAGAGATGGAAGTCGTCGATAGTTGATGATAAGGAGTTGTTTTTTAGGTTAGCCATAAAGCAGTCGGCCAGGAGGGGTACTATGGGAGAGAACCCATTGCTACTCCATCTACTAGTCTGTATATTTCGTTGTTGAATCTAAAGTATACGTTGAAAGTGCATCGTAGTAACAGTTCTTCTAGGTAATGGATCGGTATACTAACATCGATGCCATTGAATTGAATGTCGTCACAATGGAAACATACGGTTTCTGTCAAGGAACTTTGATGAAGAGAGACGATATCCGAGGAGACCATTTTCATTTCTGCCACGTTGACATTCTTAATTGAATCAACAAAGTCGAATGTGTCACGGAGGTTGTGTCTTCATAGCTTCTCTTACACCAACCCGAGAATCTCCACTAGCCATTTTGCGATGGAGTGATATGGGGAATCTATCATATCTAGTATTCGGCGGAGTGGGACGTCTTGTTTGTGCACTATAGGTAAGCTGTACATGCGCAGCGTTGTAGAACCAGATGGACGCAGTTGTTCGCATAGTTTTGAACTGATAATGGATTCGTATTTCATTTTCTTAAATATCTTCGTTAGCGAGAGCTCCGTCTGCTCGATGGGATCTTTCTGTGAAGACTGTTTTTGAAACTTAATATCATCAGATAGTATCACCGATAGTTCGCTTAGAACTGAAGGGTAATGAAAACTTGATCATGACACTGCCAGAAAGGCTCCGGGATCGTATTGATGAACAAATCAGACTACCTTAGCAAACTCTCGGTTGTACTATCTGATGATAATAAATTTCAAAAACAATATTGGGCCACTTCATCATGCATATATCAGTTTACTTGCTGTTGCGGAACTGAGTACATCGGCCGTACCATGCACCAATTTGGAAAACGCACTCGTGAACACCATCCAGCCTGGCTAGTAAAAGGAGAACGAAAACGTGTATATAGTTCAGTGACAGAACATCTGGTCAATTTAGAACATTCAGCACCATTCGAAAAATCCTTCAAAATAATATACAAGATTCGATCAAACCTATCAAAAGGAATAAAATTAAGACATCTGGGCATAGCCAAGGCACTAGCCATCCAAAAGCTCAAATCCACGCTATGTACCCAAAAGGAATACGTCCAACCCTTGTTCCTGCCATGGCCATCATAAACAGGTAATTCTTCTAATAGTGACTATCCCATCACCTTTCTCATCCAAACTTCCCTTTTGTTCATGTTATATTAAGTTTTTCCTAATCCCTATTTACACTACCATATTTTCATATCCGAACTTCCTGTATATTTTGTCATTTTATTATTTCTACATATTTAATCTCTAACTGCATAAACAATTATTCGTCACATTAGTTATGATCCTACTGGAGTTTTTATCCAAACATCCTGTCTGTTTTTGTTATTTCTACATTTCTAACCCCTAATTGCACAATATGTCGATCTTCTCAGTAATTATGATGCTACCTTGTTTGAGTTTTATCTGTCCCCCTGTTTATTATAGCATTTTAATTCCTAATTGTAATCTTATTTTATTCTGGAACTTTTCCACTCATTTGTAAGAAATACACGAATGAACAGCCTAGTTGATGACTTCATCGCAAAGAAAATATTCTTTGTTGGAAGCATCCTTTTAAATGTCTCAGTTTGAATCTCTTCAATGTCCTAGTTTTTCCTGTCTTTAAACAGGTTCCTCTATTCTTCTGCAAGTCATTTCATAGAGAAGTTTGTCAATACTTGTTTTCTTTGAAGTCAACTGTCCGCCTCCTTCCTGTGGCTTAAGTGTTTTCACAAGACTTAAGTCAAATTTCGTGCTCTCAAGACACGACTAGAAGCGCTATGGAGGGTCAACAGAATGCTGTGGTAAAGTTTGGCCACAGAATAATAATAATATTGTTTTCAGGATTTCATCATAAGATGACATCGGTTTGTGAACCACTGGAAAACCTGGGAGTACTGGATGGCTGTTTCGTCCTAGTTTGGGACTGTTTACAGTACGCACCCACCGGGGTTCGAACTCAGGAGTTTCCGGTTACATGGCGAATCCGTAGACCATTGAGCTGAAGAGTCCCAAACTAGGACGAAACAGTACTCTAATGTTTTCCAGTGCTTCGTTATCCGATGTTAGCTGATGATGAAATCCTTAAAGCAATAAAATGCCTGCAAATCACCAACACTTCAATAATATTTGCGGACGCGAAGTGAAGAAGAAGGCTAGTTTTATGCCAAACTAGCTTTACTGGCTGATAAGCATGTGAACGCAGCTACTGAGGTTGCTCAGCTGCCTTATGGATTAGACTTCGAATTCTTAATAACTGACCTTTAAATATAACACAAAAGCTAATACCACTAGAAGACTTAGTGGCCTGCAGTGATTTATGCATTCTTTTTCCAATTTACTAGTTAACCACGCATTTAAACTCTACTAATCAAACAAAGTGTCGACTACTCTGGTTGGACACTAGTTAGTAGCTTGTCTAATTTGTCTAGTGTTTTCTTTGGTGCAGACTGAATTCTATCGTCAGTCAAGTTTCCATTGTTCCCATTATTCTAGTGGGCTCGCCATCACGATACACTGTGAACTGTTGACAATAAATGGTTGTAGGTTTCGTGTTATATGAGAAGAACGTCGTCTCACTCATATTTAACAGGATAAAAACCAGCAAAGAATTGTCAGACTTTGAATTCATTATTCTTGTGTTCTTATGACGCTAAAATATGCTTACTGGTCTTAGTGCATTTCTGCTTTATGGTCAAAGTTATTAACGGAAGATCAGTTGTCAGTAAACCACAGTACAATAGAAAGACGACCACCAATTGTTTCAAATTGGTATCCGATAAGTCTACATACTTTCTTCACCAGGTGCAGTACCAAAAACTGAGTTGAGATTCAGTGATCAGTGTGCCCTTTTCCCATCAAAGACCGAAACGTGCGAAACTGACGAGACGATGCATATTAGCCAGCTATTGAAGGGATAACTGGATAGCATACAAAAATTGTCGCTCGACGACTTTCTTATTCCTTTGCGTTCCGAGTGGAACATATGGCTTCAAGCTTTGAATATTCAGCAGGTGTGATGTTGTTTCTACAGCGTATGGTTGCAAGTCACTCGCTAAAACTTTCCTCTTTTACATGCTCGTTACCGGCTTGTATACTAGCCAACGTCTAGGAGTGCATCAATCGGGAATCAAAACCTAGATCTTCCGTGTGGTTGACGAGCATTCTCTACAGCTGAACCATCGATGTACCGTTAGATTATGAATAACGAGAATCTGTCAAGTTATGAATATCTATAGAGGTGTGGTGAGAGATGACTGCTAGCCAAATTGGTAGACAGTAATTGACATCAATGTTTATGTCTCAAATAGTAGTCATGTGAAAACAAGATCAGCAAGGCGCATCTGCAACCTTGAACAAAGCAAAGGACATTCTTTTTGACAAATTCCTCTTCAAGCTCTACAATTATATATACATACATCACTCTATGGCCAAATGTTCGGTTTAACTCTTAAAGCCTGAATTGGTGAAACAGAGCGTATAAGACACCTTTGCATCTGTTGAAAGGATAAAAGATAAATAAATTCATGTCACCGTTTAGCATATCTACCTTGTTAACTAATTAATGTACCACTTATGGAAACAGTAGACTTTATATTCGAAGAGCTTATTGGACGAAACATCGATGTCGACATTCCTGTATCTTTCACAAAACAGAGTCTATCGAAATTTACAATAAATACAGAACTGGGTGACACGGGTTCGAATTCCGGAAGGAACATGAGGTCCTTCAAGGTGAGTGCAGATATGCCCTGCTAACTGGTGAGTGCCAACTAGCACGAGACCTAAGTCAGGTAGGGCTTCCTGTGGCCGATTGGTTCCAACCATCTATTATCAACTATTCACAGTGCATCGTGATGGTGAGCCCACTTGAATAATGGCCACATTGGAAACTTGACTGACAATAGAATTCAGTCTGCACCAAAGAAAAGACTGAACAAATTAAACAAGCTACTAACTAATGTCTAATCAAAGTATCCAATACATTCCTACAGGAGGTCGTTCGCCAGCCTGAATAGTTCAGTGGTAACGTCTCTGACCGCAGCACTGGGTGGCGCTAGTTAAAACTTCAGAAGGGACATAAGTTCTTTCAAGTTTGTAAATACGCCTTTGATGACAAGTACCAACTAGAACGATACCTAGGCCTAAGACTTCCTGCCGATTGCTTCCAACCATCTAATGTCATCAAATCAATGTTCACCGTGATGGCGAGCTACCTAGAATGGTGGCCACATTACAAACCTAACTGAACGAATTCATTCTGCACCAAAAAAGGACGAGACGCATCACACTAGTTACTAGTGTCCAATGAAAGTACATGTTAATCTAGTTAGTAATGAGCCCGATTTAGACTTTTGACAAACCACAATATCATCTAACTGCAATATCTAGGTAGCAGGTGCGGTGAGGGGGCGGGACATTCAAACCCGTGGTCGATTTAATGTTTTCTTATATGAAAGTCTTATTTATTCATTTCCGATATTATGACATTCATAGGCAGCTTTAGTAGGTGGAATTCAAAGGTTTACTAAGTAAACTTGTATGTTGTCTAGAATACTCAAGATTTCTAACTGCCTGTTATGTTTTATTTATCTTCACCTTGTTAAAACTAAGTTCGTAATTAGATTATTGTGTGATTCAGTTGTGTTTATTTGTTTTATTGTTGCAAATTATTTCAGTTGTTGGCAGAAGATATTCGCAAAGAACGTAATCAACTTATGCAGTGTATACGGTATATTGTGAACGAAAATTTTTTCCAAGAATAATCATCAGCCCGTGATATTAAACCCTGATGTGAATGGGGGAAAAATACAAAAATATTGTGTATATATGCTCTGTTGAATCACATTTGTATATTTTAAAAAGAATATATTGTTAATTATTTACATTCACTTTTGCAATAAATCCCCTGTCGATTATTGCTCTTGGTTTATTACGGAGTGCCGGTAAATGAACATTGTGCCACCATCGAAAACATTGTGCTGAACAAAGCCGAGGAAATTCTGGGCACGCTGCACAAACCATCCTGATTACCGTTTCAGTTTGCACGTGATTTCTTAGTTTACAGGCAACACAATCCGTGTTTTCATTGGTGAAAGGTATAGGAATACCATCAAGAAGCATAACTTCACAAAGGGATTCTATAGATCTCAATTTGTGTTTCTGACTTAATGGTTTCCATGCTTCCTCTGAGGTGGAAGTACTTGGTGTAAGCGTTTCACATATACTACTCGTCTGACTGTTAGTAGGTACTGTATTATTGACTACATGGTTTGACAGTTCACACAAATGCTGATTGTCATTTATTGCCTCCCCATTTTCAATATTTTCTAAAAATGTGATAAATATAAAATGAAATTCAATTAAGTTAAAATTTCTTCACATCAACAAGTTCACATTTAATTCACCCTTTCAAGTTTTAATTATGTAATGTCACGCTCACTGATTGCAAGTCACCAGGTCTAAAACAACTATGTTCATCTGAAGCCTGATAGCGAATTCTTTTTGTCAAGAATTACTAAACCACAATGCCAAAGTATTCCCGCGACTAAAACTAAACATTCAGTGGACTCAGTTTTCACCAACCAGCTAGTGACTGCTCTACATGAGGACATTCGTGTGACCGTAGTAGAAATTAAGGCACTTAGTTTTATTGTGTAACGAGATGTCGCGGAAGAACGTTTTCCTGCACAAATGATAAATATCTATAGAAACTAACTAGTGAGAAATTATGACAATATGCTATTTAGATCTAAATACTATCACCGTCGCAAGGATATGAGATAATCATAACGAAAGCATGAAGCTGTTCTGCATTTCTAAATGGTTAGCCAATACACGCTAGGACAGTAACTAAAGCTCAACACAGAAAACTATCTCTGATACTTCATATTTCTCTTTAGCATATATGTATTACCGTTTGCAGAAGCGCTTTAAAACTTCATATATTTACTTGCTTAATTTCTTAAAAGTACAAAGAAGCTAGTGAGTTTCGCGATGTTTACTAACCAAAGTACACGGACTGATATTACAGAAATAACAGAATGGAACTGTTCCAGAGAGTGGAAGCGCAAGCTATCCATTTGCTGAATTAAGTCATAAACATAAGAGGAGTCACTGTCGATACAGGTAAACATTATCTTGGAACTCAGTTACAATTTAATTTTATGCTTTCTTAGACACAAAAACTGTAAGCATATTCCCAGCGTTCTTCTGGTCTGAAATAAGTTTCTGTTTTATGAGACGGAATCTCATTTTATTCGTTGGAGATCGCTGATTGACTTGCACAAACTCAATTATCAAAAACAAATAAATATGCACATACAAGGATACTCTATGTTGCAAGTGAGCCATATTCCAAAGGAAAACTGCATGTAGCAAAGTTAAATTCTTAACAGGTTAAATCCCTTGATCCTGATATTATTTAATATATTCGCCAGTTTTTCTGATAAGAACACCTATAGCACTAAATGCACACTATCACTAACACACTGTTCGAGTTTTCGTAGGTGAACTTTACGAAAAAAGTGAGACAGTTTTAGTTGCCACCCTCCAAATGAAACAAAAAAGAAAAAGGACCTATGGTGATGGGAAACTTGCAGAAGAATAAATAATTGCATGAGAAATAATAAAAATTTAATGAATGAGACATTACAAACAGCGAATGCAACTACGCATTTAACATTAAAACTGGGCCATGTCACCAAAACTCTCAAACCGTTGCTCCTTTGCACCTCCAGGAATACAGCCAGACAGTCTATATCTCCTTACGTGACTCAAACCACTAGTCAAAGGCTTCAAGCATTGATGTCAGGTTTCGACTGCACCACAAATAACCCTCTTCCAATCTAATCTTATGTCGACTAACATTGCTCGACAGGGAAGATGACGGCCTCGAATGTGTAACACGTGTCCCAGTTATCTCAATCGATGCAGCTTCACAACTTTAGCAGTTGATTTGCCTCTATCACCTAACTTTCTACACCCAACCTCAATATAAGTTATAATATTATGCCATTTAACACGGGAGGCAGGACGCAAACAATCATGACTACGCACAGATGATCCTTTCATATCCTCTTCTTTTTACGGTTCTGTCCTACAGTCATGAAGAGAGAAAAAGCGAACTGTTGAACAGTACATACTTTTTGTCGATAGCCAGACATCACGTCTACACCAGGGATAACTTCATTTCACAAATGTACACAAGCCCTCCATATCCATGCTGAGATTTCGTCAGCAATCACTACATTAATGCTGATGCAACTTCTCGAGTAAATCTAGTGGTCAACACACCCAACCACTTTACTTCCTATCTTTAAACTATGAGTCGATGCAAAACACTCCTATAGAATCATCTTACATTTCACAGAAGCGAATCGTATGCCAAACGTACTAAGATTTCTGCTCAACGTGTGCAGAAGACTCCGCATATCGTCATCAGATTTACCTACAAGGACAGTACCATTTGCATACTATAAAGATATGAGACTGCTCCTTGCCACAGGTCGCTAAAATCAATCACGGTTACACTTATCAATACATGTACGATGAAATTAAACAAAAACGGAGACACTGGGCGTTCCTGACGGACATCACTGGTCGTCAGATGACAACTCTTCGTATGCTCTTGCACGGCTGTGATTCCCACCCAGTAGAATGCCTTCATTAGTGTAGTGTTCTTTCTGAGCACTTCCTTCACCAACAGACATTGTCACAGCACCTTTCAGTCAACAGAATAGAATATCGTCTTCATGTCAAGAAGTGGAAAGTGTTGGACGCCAGCAAGTGTCTATGTTCCAGAATTTATCGAAGGCTGAAGATAAGACAAATACTTCTCCTGAGCAACTCCCAGTCTACGCGGGATTCGCGGACCTAGAATTTTAGATACTGTTAGTCAAGCCAATTTCCACAACCCATCCACCTCCCAACCTCGATTGTCACTGGGATAATCAAGAATTTACACCAGCCTACCGAAACCGACTAACTAACTGAGTTTCAACATAGAACTTTGCACAGAAGTGCACCAGTTCAAGTTGCACACTCCATGCAGCATAAAAAGGTAGGGAAAAGAGAAAGAATAGATTCAAAAGAACCACAACGAGTAGAAATGTGCGGGAGAAAGAATAGTAACATGGAAAAATATGACAGTTCAGTGGATGTGGGAGATAACAAATGGTGAATACATCAGCGCCATTAAGAGCTATTTTGAGCCATATCATCAACAGTCTCCAGTCATTGGTTCTTAGCATCATGATGATCCTAACCAGTCTAACGGGACTCTCTCGGATTCCCACACACTGCTTAATATCTTAGTTAACCCGGTGCATACTTCATCAGCATCTTTAAACACCTCTGGAGTCATATCAGGTTTCGCATTTCAGACTAGAAATCAATGTATGAATCTGCTCCACAGCATGTTCAAAGTAATGAGAACATGCAATCAATCAAATATCCGTAACTATATCATCTATTCTCATATCTATTTCCCAGTAAATATATATATATATGTATATATACGGATGCAAAACTTCAGTGACTCTAAAAGTTAAGTGACTGTCGAATGACTAAAAACTCACGATTACTGAGAAATTTCGATTTATTTCACAGTAACATTCGGTAATTTTAATGCGGAATAACATCATTTAGTATGAATAACTGAAAGCTTAGCGGTGTAACAATAACAACAATCTAAGTCTAAAGAGAACTTCGCTATCTGAATAAGATATGATGATAATTATTCCCAATAATTATTGTACCAGTATACTTCCACCTGCTTAATGATACAGGACTGCATAAACGACTTCATGATTTGTGAGTAGCTACAAACATCTAGAAATTCGGACAAGAGATGAAAATTATTATTTTTGATAATAGCCATAATGCTGAATGCCAAGTAATCCACAACGGGAAACTCACGGAACACTTCGAAATGAAAACGGGAGTAAGATAAAGCTGTCTACTATCTCCACTGATTTTCCTGAATGCGGTAGACTAGATAATGTGACAGACGACGGGCAACGAGGAAACAGGCACAAAATTGACCCACACAAAAAACACTTCGAGGATCTGAATTCCACCGATGACATATATATGTCTGATTTCTCACAAACTGGAGGATATGCAAGTGAAAAGCAACAAGTTGGCAGAAGAAGCATCAAAGATAGGACTTACTTCAGATGAACATAGAGAAAACAGCTGTGGTAATGAAGATTCCTGGCCAACAGCAACAGCTACAACAACCAGCCAGCATAAATGGGAGGAATCTGAAAGAAGCAACATCCTTCAGCTACCTACCGACCTACCTGGGAAGCATCGTCGTTTCAACTACAGGCGGACGGAACTGATGAGCACATCAAAGCGAGGATCATCGAGAAAGCAAGGCAAGCTTTCGTTACTCTCAAGTCTGTGTGGAGATCAACAGCACTCAGCATGAAAAATAACATCAGCATTTTCAACTCCAATGTGCAGTCAGTGCTACTCGCTATATGAATCAGAGACTTGGCGCAGCGTCGCGTCACAAAGGGCACTTCAAACGAACTACACACCTTCATCAAAACCTGTCTTCGCTCAAGATCAGATGGCCGGCCAGAAAAGATTTCTGGCAATGAACCAACCCAGCAGGAACCAATTGTGCAACAAATATGCAGGAAGAAATGGAGGTGGATTAGCCATACTCTGAGAAAACAAACCATCAAGTGAGTGACATCACACACCAGGCCATCACTCGAGTGGAACCCGAATGGGAAGCGGCGAGTTGGTCGCCAGTGCGATGGTGACATGAAGGACGCCATGCGAAGAGGAGATGAAGTAATGATAATATTAAGTGTAAAGTTGTCGGGAGAGTAAGACGGAAGAGAGAATGTAAAGATGTAAAACGATGAACTTAGTTATCTACCCCTGAATGATGTATGGGATTTTAAGGGGATAGGCCATTTAGACGCAGTCCTTGTGTCTCTGAATGATTGTCCAGCCTTCGCTTAAAGGCGTCCACAGACGGTGCCATAGCTACATCTGCCGGTAAGGAATTCCAGGGACGGCCAACCCACAGTGAAAAGAAGTGGGAGCACACCCGGGTCCTTGCCCTCTGGTGAGCTATCCTTCTGGGGTTTCCACGAGGGGGCCTATACCGACTCAATAGCAGAACACCTTTGTTTGGGTGATTCTGGTCATTTGTTATTTCGTAGGCAGTAATTAAATCCCCCTAAGACGACGGTAGCTAAGTGTGAATAGGCCTAATTTCTTTAGCCTTTCATCATATGGTTTGTTTCGGAGACCAACCACTCCTTTTGCTGCCCGTCTTTGGACTCTTTCCAAGAAGTTAGCGTCTCTTCTAAGCAGTGGGGGTGCAATAATATTATGCAATTCAAGGTGTGGTCCGACGTATGTTTTGTACAACCTTAGAAAGAGCTCAGGAGTGAGTGCACCTAACTGTCTACTATCGTTCACCAGTAAAATGTGACTCACATCTCGGAATGCACGTAAAAAATCAGAAACACCTGTATTTTACACACTAAGATTTTGAAACTTACCCAAAAGAACCTAGTGACGGATGAGGTGAGTGGTGTTGGCAATCCGTTGTAATATTAGAATTAAGCGTGTTGAGGGGTGAACCAATAAAGAATGCCTCCTCTTCAAACATCAGTTGGCTAATTTCATGAGGATTTTCCAACCTATTCATTATTTTTTTTCCAACTTTGGCATGGACTAGCCAACAGGGAAACACAATCAGTGTTATGGCTCAACCTAACCAGTCTAGCGGTACTTTCCCGGATTCCCACACATTCTTTAATATCTTAGTTAGCTCAGTGCATAATTCATCATCATCCTCAAACACCTCTGGAGTTATGTTACCAAGTTTTGCTGCTTTTTTGTGTTGCAGATTAGGATCACCTGTAACCTGTTGCATTTGGAAGACCAACGTCTAAAACCAACATAGCTGGCCAGATTTAGCGTGGCCGTAATCCAGTCAAATTACTTTATGATGTTCCCCTTCCCCAGCAATATTATCTTTTCATTATTATATCCACTTAGTTTATGTATATCTTCCTTCCCACATATATCTCACTATTAATTAGTATTTACTGGTTGCTGTGTAAAATGAACGTCTTTCTGATCTTTCCCAAGTTATCACTTCTAAATTTTTCCTTGGTCAGCATTATCAGTGCATTTCCAGCAATGTACTGCATACTTCACAGTGGTCAAACCTTAATGAAATCCCGAATCATTGTCATGATATATCAAGATGATACGGAAGTAGGCAGTACTTTGGATTAAGAATGTAATTTCACTTATTCTAATTCTTACACAGCACATGTAACGGCAGAGACGTGGTAGCGATCTTCAGTCTTACGGGTATGACAGTTAGACGATCAGTCACTATAAATACTCCTGAAAAAAATATTTGAATACTAGAAGACAGTTAAAGAATACACTCGGGGCGAACCCACCAATGACCTTGGGTCTGCCAATTATGCTAAAAATGCTAATTCGGTTCTTTAATTCAGCCATTACGTAACCTACTCTTACCTAACTCTACTGCGGCCTTAACGTAAACCTAGCCTGGCTTTAAAATAGGAAGACCAGCTGCTTTTACTGCATTTAGTACTTCTCTTATGAGAATACTGTTATTCAACTGACTCCGCTGCCTGGTTTAGATCAAGATTTCCAAGGCCATTCTCGCGTTCATTCCTCAGGGTGTCTATTCTCTACCTTCGCTAACATAATCACATGACAGCGGTTGAAAGATTTGAGGATCATAACTTACTCTAATTCTAATATAATCCCCTACGTTGATGAAGTACCGAACTGATATGTTCAGTTACCTAGTCAACAGTTGGCTACTTTGAGGACGAAGAAGTCAATGTAACCTAAGCGCATTACACCCAGTTAACTGATTTTTTTTATTCTAATGAAACAATAAATACTGTCCACCTGTCCTACTTGCTTTCCAAATGATTTGCCGTCTTTAAGTCATGCTTACAAATCTTAAGTTCGTTTCCGAAAATGTTATACCTACCACTGCCTATAACTTCACTGTTTTGACTTTCATCGTAATGGTTATGTCGTGCATCCATATCTGTCTCCATACTCTGCGAGACTTCTTTATCTATTTCCATAACACCTGCTGGATATGTGTCTGAAAATAAATTACTGAGCAGCCCCAAGAAACATATTACCTTCTTTCTTTATATTCATAAAGGCTTCCAAATTTTTAAGATGTCTTTCTTGTTTGCGCATTAAATCAATAACACGTTGTTGCAACTCGGATGTCATTTTGAATGCCAGCTGCAAGTTAGCTAAATCCATTTCACCTGCCAAGATGTGTGCATTCTGTATCTAAGACAAAATTATACAATTCAGCTCTATACTTACCGCAGCAGCGTATAATTTTAGTTTCAGGTCTACTGAACAATATTCCATAGTCAATTCCAGCTGCGCGCTATAAATTTTGATACGGTTGTTCCGCTCTCACTGACCTTGAATTCCTCCAATGCTTTCAGAGGCTCAAATCATCGACTGAACTTGTCTTGATGTACAGTGATCCCAAATGTTGCATTTCACCTCATTTTTTTCTGTTACTGCCAAAATTAGTTATTTGGTTTTTTTCGAAAGCTTTAACCGCCAGGTCAGTTCATTCATTTCATTGTAATTGTTCATACGTTGCATTCATGCGTCGTTTCTGTGTTTTCAATGTTTTTCAGCTGTTTGTGAAATAGTACTGTGTAGAAGTTTTTTAAATTATGCACATGAACCTGTTTGGGTGGCAGAAGCTGTTGTTTCCAGTTCATTTGTTGGTTGCCGTTATAACCAATGGTCCAATTGGTTACTTAATATGTAGAATTCTCAAAAAAAAACTATATCTTTCACATTCTAGTTTGCAGCATGCAGCAATCTACGAGTCACTCTAGTGAAAAGATCACGATCAGAGTTGACAGTAGCAAGGTTTTCGGAAAGCATGTTAAACCTGGAGTGCGTCGGTGGCACAGCGGTTAGGACTCTCGCCGACCATGCACATGGTCCGAGGTTCGATCCCCCACCGACGCACACCTGATATCTATGGTCGGCCTACTAAATTTGGGCTACCGATATCACATGCTGAAAATTTCATACTTGTACCAAAAGGAGCACTGTGTGGAATCAAGCTATAATAAAATGTAAAATAAATAAATAAATTTAGAACCTGGGTTGAAGTTGAAAAAGCTCTGGAGCTTTTCTAGAAGATGAGTATTCCATCAGCGCGTCTATTATCAGTTAAAAACACCTGATATATTGTGAGAAGATCTAATTTAAACAAGGATGAGCCACATGTGAATTATGAATATGTGGTGCTTGTATGTATTTTTGAAAACAAGAGGAAGTCGGAAGGCAATCACATTCGTCTCAAAGGATAAGTGTTTCCTATGGTTGTTAATGCCTAATGTACCAGACCCAAACACATGAACTAGAATTGTTTGTAGTAAAGCAACTGTTACCAGCCATTCAGTATGTCGCAAAATGATTTTAAAAGTACATAGCATACGATGATCTCGTGAGTGTACGTGTTATCCCAAATAAAGGTAAGACTTTAATTTCAAGGAATAACGATTCGGATTGTGGCTTGCAATCGGTTGTTTTTTCGAAGCTAAGACAAGCTGAGAAGCTGATTATTACTCGGGGAGAGGACACTAGCTGAATTCAAGTTGCTTGTTTCAGTTCGAATTATCGAATTCCTACTTTTTGGATGTTTGTAATTTCTCCGTGGCTATAAATATTTATGTCCATGATTTTTTAGAAAACTTTAAATGAATTTTCCTTGAACCAATGGTCCTCTTTTTCTTGGCGAAATATTTGCTGGCACGTTGGATGAATATATAGCAGAGTAGGATGTTCTGTAGCTGACAACTATAGTCGTTATGTTTCGGATAAATATAACGCGTCTAACTATTATTATCCCAAGGGTGCATTATATCTGGAAGTCAGAAGCATACAGTCCTCAGTAGATTTATTTTTACTTTCTAAGTGACGAGGAATAGTGAATCAGTTGAGGCGTTGTGGTGATAGGATAAATGACTCCAAACGCTTTCGTGTAGATTAGGATATATTCATATTTTTTTACCAGGAGACGATCTTTGTACCCATGCAGTTTTCAGGATGTCAAATCTTACTTCGTCATTCAAAGATAACATTAAGTTGCCCACTAAGGTAGTAGCTAGAGGAGATTACCTTCAGTGGGAACAACTTTAAGGTAGCTACGTAGCTTTAGGTAGTGTATCATAGAAGTAAGCAGCGTGCGTTGGTTATATCTAAATATATTTAAAGTTTTATAAGTGGTCAAATCGTAGTTCTTACATACTACCTAGTCTTAAAAATAGTGAATGTACCGTACGAGCGTTTACTTTGATTTACACACCTGGCTCATAAACATTATGCCCGATGATACGCTGCGTGATTAGTTCAATGTATCACGCTACTATCACGATTAAAGCAGGATAAAGTTCTAATTAGATTCATAAAATCGTAAGTAATTTATTATCCATAAAGTAGATATGCAAATACTGCAGTTTTTGATCATAAAAATTATGGATATTAGATCATTTCAAATGACTGAATGGCATATTAGAAATAAATAAAAATTGTTTCTCAGCTCATTGTCGAGTAAACAGTCTATTTGATGATATCACTGCATATTAACAGATTGATGAAGTAAACATCAACCCTAGGTTACCATATTTACTTGTACTACACACTTGGCGTTTAAGAGTATACAGATTTGCAACTGGCTAGATAAGGCAACTTTAGCGTATCGAACAGAACAGAATTATTATCCAGCTTGCTAAGTTCTACTTAGTTTTAACAACGTGCTATTGAATAGAAACAGACGAGAAATCCTATGAATGACTAAAGTAACATTCTGATAATACCACAGTAAATCTCCATCCCACTAAGTAAGCTTAACATGCATTAATCCAAATTCACATAGCGACGCACTGAAGAAGTGGAAACTAGCGGTATATTAAACATTTCAATAATTTAAAAAAGAGAATCCTGATGAAGGGTATTAGAGTTAGTTTGACCGATTGACATTTCTACTGATTTCATATTCGACGACCTCCATTTGCCTAAAAAAATTAAACACATGTAAGGACTAGCGCAACACGAGGTCATGAAAGATAATTTTACATATTAGTATACAATATGAACACACTGATTCTATTAATACTAAATAAAATTCTAATACAAACAAAGGTGTTTGTTGTATACAGCCGGTTTTCATATTGACGCTGTATGCATAAACAGACCCCATATCCTTCCCATTATTAGAGAATTATGCACAAATTTCAAGACAAACCCTAAAATTTCCATAATCCTAGGGCGTTCTCTTATCAAGATTACTTCTAAATCAACTTCACAGTAAATACGTCTACGTCAAAAGAAGTATTGCAAATGTGTAACTTAAAAATTAGTCCGCAATCTCAGTAATGTCTAGCGAACATGGTTTTGTGAATCCTACAGGAATAACATTCTCAAATTTAGGAATCCATAAGCATAAAATATAATCTGAACATAAAGATCAGCAGACGTAAGCTGATGGGTTACTTTACAATGTCTGACGCATACGATGTGGAAATCGGTCATGAAAATTCAGCATAACTAGTTCTGTTAACCAGATGTTTTCTTCAGGATCATCGTACATAATTTTATCACTGATTGTTGCACTACCAATTCCACTCTGCTAAATAGACTATAACTTGGTTGCTGCAGTACCAGCTACTTCTCTACTTTATAAACTTTTGAGAGACACCTAATTTCCTAGTCGTTTGTAACAAATACTTATGCACACTTATGCATGTATGAAGGTGGTACTGCCAAGAATGTCCTCAAGTGTCGATGTATATGGTGACCTAATTGGAAGCACTTGTCATGAAAGCCATTAATGTGCAGCATACTGTACCACTGGGATGGGCGCAAAGACATTTCGATGCTGCAACTAAAGTTATCGCCGCAAATACCTCAAAGCTTAACATCTAAAAAGGAGTGAGTGTGGCACATGTTGGTCAGCAGATATGGTGGTGGTCACAAATGTGAATCGCTCCAATCTGTAGGACAGCAATGTGCACTTTCGACAGCTCTGGAGATAAACATGAGTCTAGATCCTTAACAAGAAAAAATGAGGCTTGTACAGATCTTAATTATAAAAAATGTTTTCCCCCTACCATCTACAAGCCTGTTCAGCTTCTTGCCAAGATGCTGCACATTGGGCCCTACAGAAATTCGTGAGTCGTTTTACAGGTCAGCTTGTCCTACGGGTTCTAATCTTCCCGATCTTTGAACTCACTTCTCACGGTAATCTTTTCAATTAAGCACTATTATACTCTATTTTTATCTTAACTACCTAGGCCTTTAATGAAGATAAAACTAACTCGTTGTTCGTATTTGTTGCTTGCTTAAAGTCGGTTGCTTTCATCAAAAACACGACAACACCAGTGTTTGAACAAAGGCATAATTTCATCAAAAACGTCGCAGTTTCCAAGCTTAAACCAACATGGTTAGCATTAAACATTGCAAATGTGTTCTATCATTCCAAGGAGTCTCCACCACCTTCTTGTATGTATCTTGTAAGTGTACTTTCAGTGATGTATTAACCATAATTGTATTTTACGCCATTTTCCAGTTTCCCAGGGTTTTCTCCTTTTCCTGAAATAGGTTTTAATCACGTGGCGCCACATCACTCACCAAAATATACGCTGTTCACTGGTGTACCAAAAATGCCAGCACAAAAGGGAAAGAAGTTTCGGTTGTCGCTCAAATTTGATGGTGAAGTGTTAACAATTTAACATTTATAAAAACATGTTCTCAATGGCTGTAATTCTATACTAGTTTCTTTATTAGATGTATCACTCAGTGAGAAAGTATTATTATTTACTGGATGACGTTGAGAACAAAATTTATTGTTCATAATCATATCAATTATAATCACACGATTTTGAATCGTGATTTTTTAGTTTCATTTGTTCCCCCCTATTTGTCATCTTTGGGGCAGTCGAATTTTCCGGATATCTGGGACAGGTGTTGAATCATTCCTATTACACATATTTGCATTTGATTCGATAAACAAAGCTTCTGTTGTCAATCTTTCTCTTCACCCTATTTGTGTATAAACTCTTTGAAAACAAGCTCATTGTACGATTTCTCTACTTCAGGAGGACATCAAACTGTATAAATCGGAACAACAGCATAAATAAGTATTATCATGCTTTTTTTCTTTTACATATTTTATGTAATTTGGTGTTTGGGTTTAACTTCTCCAATTTCTATTCCCATTACCCTATATAGGTGTGAAAATCATTATTCGTTTTGCCCTTATAATTTTTTAAAATTTGTTATTCAATATTTTTTGTTGTTGTTTAATACCAAAAACTTGAAATAACTGTTAGTATGTAACACTATAAAACTCAATGACTCAAAATTCTTAGTAACAAAAAGGGGGATAAA